GTAAAATATTTGAATGACTGATAGATATTTATTCAGTCGCTCTGACTTATTCCAAAGTTATTATGGTCTTTTCTATTCCTTGAAAGTTCATTCCATAATATATAAATTTTGCGAAATGATTTTTTTTTTTTTTGTAATAAAAATAATTTGTCTCATTACATTTGCATAATTGTATCAATTAGAATTTTTTTTTTTTTTTTTTTAAATTATTGTCCATCTTTTGATTCTATGTTACCGTTCCACCTATACCTTTGATATCAGAGATTATATCTATATAATGAAAATATAATTATATTGGTTTTTATAGATGTTATATCAATTAATTGAGGCAATTTTGAAATATTCATTGTATGTAATATCTTCGTATTTTATGGTGTCATAATTTTTCTTTAATCCATTAGGAATTAAATATTATTGAAAAAAATCAATCCAACTATGGATCATCATCGTATGATTTATATTTTAATAAACATGTCGTTCAGAAGTGTTGGGGTTTATTATTACTATAGATGCAGTGATTAAATTCAAATTTCTTTAGTAATTTTATTCACCAATTTTTATATTTTTTCTTGGCAGAATATCTCCTTTTTTTTCTTGAAATTTTTTGATATTTTCATTCTATAAATTAAATGATATCTGTAATTGATTTGAGAATTAAAACAATTAATAATTAATCTCTGTTTTCAAAAATATAAACCATACACTTCTATGTCCTGTTCAATAATATCTACATGAAGTAGATTTATGTATTCATTTATTTGTTACAATATTTTTTTATGAACGTTAAAGCTTTAAATTTGGACAGACAGAGTTAATTTCACATATTTTATAATATTTGTAGTGATAGTGAAGTAGGGAACTTGTAGCGCCTGTGCACTGTATTAATCATGTATTTTATAATAATTAATAAATTAATATATTTAATAATTATAAATATCATGTACATATTATTATGACGTATGTTTTTTTGTGATATGTATGTACATATATAGTATTAAAAAAATGTTGTCTTTCCAAACAGGTGCCCTATTTGTTCATATGATCGAGGTTCTACTGTACAATTATAATATATATATATAAAAAGCACACATATTATATTTATAACCAGGGCTCGTAACTTCATGCACTAAAAAATGCATAAATAGCATGCATTCATGCACTAAAAATTGTCAAAATATGCATTAAAATATGCACTTAAAAGTTCAAAAATATGCATTTATATGCATTAACATTTTTAAATTATGCACTCAAAATATGCATTATGTAAAAAAAACATGAACAAATTTTAAAATAATAAGAATAAATCCATACATTTTATAAGTATTTTATTCCTTTTAATTTTTATATATTTAAAGGTCAAAATTAATAAAATAAAAAATAAAATTAATACTTGTGAAGCTCAAATAGCTTTGTCATCTTTATAAATTTTAATTAGGTAGTCAATTTTGTCTAATTTGTTTACACTCTTATTCAGCACCAACAATGAAAACATTTGGAATGAAATATTAGGTTTTTCATTTTGAGATAATTTAGTAATATATATTTTATAAGTGTTTTTTTTATGTTTTCCAATAAGAGGGCGCATTAGTAGACAAAATATGGCATAAAACCATGGTTTCGTAATTCAAGTAATACGGCTTATTGAAGTGGTTTACAGTAAAAATACCTATTATAAAAATTGTAAAGTAGAACTTTTTTTTACAATCGTAAGAAGCCTGATTTTCGATATTTTTATTAACTAGCTAAATAATTACTCAATAAAAAATTTAAAAAACCGTTATAATTTACCATGCGATATTGGACGAATGGAACAAGATATCAAAAATCGGAAGAAACTTTTCAAATATTTGTCTAAAAAATATTTTTATAAAATTATATGCACTAACGACTGTAAAAAATCAACTATATGCCAAATATGACTTTACACCCAAAACATGCAAAAACATGCACTATCAAACTTCATATTATTATTACTATTGTTATGAAACGGATTTGTATCTCAGCATGTTTTCCTGTGTGGCAAAAAAAACATGCAGATGCATGAACTTACGAGCCCTGTTTATAACAATTAAAATATTGTATTTGGTTTCAGGAATTAACAAACACTTAAGTGTACTTCTACTAAAAGAAAAAATGACTAAAGAGTTGCAAGTTAATGTACCAATTAAAGTTCTATGGAATTATTTGTCAGCTAAATGGAATATTAAAGTTGCTGTAAATAAAAACCTTATTAATCATAATTTACCTACCTACACGATAAGAGTCTAATATTTTCTGAATTTTTAGGATATTATAGAAGATATACGTTTTGATACGAGTGAGAAAGACTTTGTATTACCAGAAGAGTTTGACCAGTTGATTGCTGAAGAAGGACAAAAAATTGAAAGACTAGATGAAAAACGTAATATACGTTTTGATACGAGTGAGAAAGACTTTGTATTACCAGAAGAGTTTGACCAGTTGATTGCTGAAGAAGGACAAAAAATTGAAAAACTAGATGAAGAACGTAAGTTAATTGTATTGATTAATTTTTTTTTATTGTCTTCATTAAGTGTTTGTATTATTTAATTAATATTATTTTTAAAGGTTCAAATGATGAAATTAAGAAGAAAATATTATTAAATTGTGGTGTTAAAACCAGATCCAAGTCTAATTCTATGTCCTTTCTAGATCCTAAAGACGATGTCAATGAGACGATTCCTTCAACATTATTAGAAAGCTCTCCAGCTAAAACAAATGAAGTTGGATCTGACAATGTCCCATGTACTAGAAGATTATTGCGTTCAAATGACAAACTAAAAAATAGTAAACTTGATGAAAAAAACAAGTTAAAATATTTGGAACAGTTAAATAAAACAACATCAAATCAGTCTAAAGATGTGGAGAAGATTGAAAAAATCTCAAATCGTATAGGTCGAAAAAGAAAAACTAGACACGAATCAGAATCTAGTTTTTTTTCTGATAATAACAAACAGTGTAAGACTTGTATAAATAATTTAACAGATAACCATTTCGGGATATACTATGAAACAGATCTATGAGGCTAATCTTGTAGCAACAAAAATTCATAAAATTTAAAAATGAAAAATGACAGTGGCATTATGACACACAAAGTACCTTTTTATTAAAAAATAAATACATTTAATCACATGTTCAATTTAACTGATAACATTTCTTTTAAAAAAAACAATGTCGGGTAAGTTACTTTTCAAAAGTACCTAAGTTATGTTACAAGTTACAAAATAAAATATACTCTGTTCCAAAAGAGAACGGTCACTTTTCGAGCATACAACTTACGGCTACGGCAGTGCAAAGGCCCAACATCCCCCACCTTGCTAGTAGACGTTTCTCGAAGACGTTGACAATTGCCTGCTAGAAAGGGGGAGGGGAATTTTGGCCTTTGCACTGCCGCAGCCGTCAGTTGTTTGCGCGAAAAGTGACCGTTCTCTTTTGGAACAGAGTATAGGTAACTAGATTACTTGTTAGTTACTTAAGTATAAAAGTAAATTATATTTATACTATTATAATCAAATTGATTTCTATTCTTTAGACTGTTGTTTTTTAAAATTAATTTGTTAAATTAAATTAAATTTAACGAGATAAAATCAATTTCGCAAAATTAAAATAAATATTAATCTTTCAAATACATTTATTTAGAACACATTTTGATAAAATATTTTAAAATGTTACTTAAAAGCAAAAAAAGTACCAAAAAAAAAACCCTTAAAAGCATTAAAATTCAAAAAAAAGAAGTTTAAATTTCCTGGATTTGATTCCATGTAATATATATTGAATTTATAGCTGACATAGAGTAATACAGTAATAGGAAAAAATCTAATGCCTTCAAAATCCGTATTCAAATTACGAATATCATAATATTATGTTGATAAGTGAAAAATATATTGATAAATTATTAATTGTTCAAAAAAAAAAAAAAAGTCCAAGGGGTCTGGGTAAATAGCCTTTTAAATTTAATGATTTATTTATTTTTTTTTATTATACTTGTATAATTATTGTGTGTAATGTATTTATTAAATTATGCTTGCTGATGTATGTTATAATTTATTAATAAATTAACTATTTTATACAAACAATTAAAATATTAGTCAATATCAATTAACTACTATTCATTATTTCACTGAAATTTGTATATATTGTAAAAATGAACGAATAATTAAAAACTGTCTAATTTAATATAGGTACTGAATTATTCTCGTAATTTACAAATTACGGGTCTATAGCCCTTCTACAATTTTAAATGTGGTATTGAATGACGAAGACTATTATTAAAATTATAATGTTTCTTTTAAAAATATAATTGACTTAGATTTTAAAGTATCACGAGTAGTATTGAAAAAATCTAAGGTGGTGGAGAATAAATTAGCAAGTTTCAGAGCTCTAACAAAGAATGAGTCATTACTTGATTTGGACTTGATGAATGGAATGGCAAAAAGATCATTGGAGTAGTTGAAGGGAATATGGAAATTGACCAGAGATAAAAGTTCAGAGCTTACAATATTATAACTTAACAAGTGGTACACAAACATGATATCAAATAACCTACATCTTAGCTGTACTGACTCTATGTTTACTAAATGTTGTACTGGCATAATAGAGTCTTTAGAAATGAGTAGGTTATTCATATAGGAAATTCTTTTTAAAAATTGAAATTGAATATTATCTAGATCATGAATATGAGTGGTTAACGCTTGACTCCAAATTAGTGATGCATATTCAAGAACAGGTCGTACCAGGGCGCCGCAGAAATTTTCACCGGGTGGGGGCAAAGTATATATTATACATAGCCATAACATATTATTAGGTATAGTATTTTATAGTTTCATTACAAACTTAGTAAACAAACTGATGACACCATAATATGATTAACAGTAGGTATATATTATCAGTGGTTGTCTTGGGGGGGGGCTGATAATCAACGCACTCACCGCCTGGCACCTAAATTAACGGACACACATATTAATCCAGGCCCATTTCAAAAAATGAAGGTCAAGTATGCTGCACAAATTTTTAGTAAAACAGTTACCAGTGGTATGAGTGTGTGTATAACAGATAAATCACTTCCACCTGAATCTAAGGATACAATTTTGTTCATAGATTCAATGGATAATTTGTTTGATATCTTCAATTCAAGGCCTACTTCAAATTCTAATGAATCAGACATTGAATTGGAAGATGAGCCAACTGGTCTAAAACGTTTTTGTTTTCCCTATGATGGTTCTTCCTATCAGAATAATTTCTTACTTTCTATGTTCAATTTCTTCAAAAACTTGAAAATTCAGAAGTATAATGTTGTAAGACACCAGTGGGTGGATGTTGTGAAGAGTTACAACATAACATTTTTAAAAGGTTGGATGGTTTCAATTGCTGGTCTTATACGCTTGTATACAAATTTACCTTTAAATTATGATGATTTGAAGTTATTTACTAGAAGGTTAAATCAAGATTGCCTAGAAAATTTGTTTGGCACTATTCGTATTCAAAATGGTAATTGCATAAATCCAACAACTATACAGTTCCAACGTTCTTTCAAAAAATTATTTTGTTTAAGTTATTTTGAATACAATGATGGAGCAAATTGTATAGAAGATTTAGATAGCGTTTTAACCAATATGAATAATACACCAGCAGAACAGTTGAAAATAATTTTTCCTGAGAAAAAATACGTTGTTCAAATAAATAAGTTAAGCGTTGATGGTAGACATTATAGGTCTTTGGCGTTGCCAGAAAAAAATGCATTCATATACATATGTGGTTATTTAATAAGTAAATGCTTAAAAATTCATTCTTGTGATTCATGTTTGGAATATGCTCGATCTACAACAGAACTTTCCAGTGAACACTTTTTCACCTACTTTAAGTCACATCAACAGGATTCAACTTCAATATTTTCTTCATTAATGACTCCAGATTCAAATTTTTGCCAGTATGTGTATGAATTGGACCAAAGATTCACTAATAACTTTCAACAATTGTTGCCATTACCAAAAGTTGGAGAAAAAATTAAAAATTTGATGAGTTTTGTATATTTTGAGCATAATTGTCCTCGGTTTCCCAAAGATTATTTATTGTATTTATTTATTAGATTCAGAATTTATACCACTATAAGCAGAACCAACAGATCTCTTAAAGGCCCTAAGCCTAAAAACAGAAAACTCCAAATTTTGTGTAATTTATAAATTATATTATATGTATAATGTAATGTATTTTTAAATGTGATACTTGTGTAAACTAAACTTCTTAGTCTCTAAGATCATGATTTAATATTATTATTATTTATGTGTATTTTTATTATTATTTTGTGTAAATAATTATATATTTATATTCAAAAATCTATTTCTATTTTGGATATTTATTTTTATTATTCAACCTTGACAACTCCTTTTTCTTTATGTATTAATAAAATATTATCATAGTATTCTATGATATTATTCTTGATAAATTAACTAGGTGTGTTATAAATTAAAACATGATTTTCTTTGTAAAGCAGAATGGGCCGTTCTGTATATTATTTCCGCTGGGTTGCTACTGAATAATTATATCGTGTATGGCATTGTTGAATATATAATTTTTATGTTCAATTATTAATCAATAAATAAGAAAGATTTCTTAATAATAAATAGGTAGAATGGTTAAACTAGTCAGCTTCTTATAGATTAAAGACGTTTTGGCAATGTTAAGTATAAACAGAGTTAGTATTTTACAGTACTTACAATTGAGTCCAATTTAAACAGTACAAGAAATGTCGCTATAACATTTTGAAATCTACTGGAGCAAATTCAATATTAATATTATATGATAATTTACATACTGTTTTTAATCAACAAAAAATAATTACACATTAAAATGGTCCTTAAAAATGTATATACATATATTTTTTTTTATTGATCAAAATAACATTGACAGTAAAGGCCATTAGTTAATAAAATTATATTTTATAATGTAAATATTGTATTGTACTTTCTTTTCTTGATATCCCATTAAATAGACAAACTAAAGTTATTCAAATTATTTTGAATGGCGGGAAATTATATAGATAGGTTTGATAATATTCTATGGTTGATGTTGTGAACACAGCGGGAGAACATGCACCTTATCAAATTGATTCAGGCAGAACAAAGGATTTCGGGAGAGTGTCGTTTCTATAGTATTCTATGATATCAGTAAACATCCAGTTATCAGTTATCAACTACCATTACTTTTACTACCAAGTATTTTCCATGACAAAATAAATTTAACTTTCATATTGTTTTTTTTTTTTTTATATATTATAAATAAAATTAGTGTAGATTGTAGATAAATTTAAGACAATACATTTATTGAATAATTTAAACATACACTTTGGCTATATGCTTAATTGTCTACTCTAGTTTGAAACGGTGTTCATAAGTGTACGCCAGGTGCATATAGTTGCAATCATGGTTGGGCAGTATCAAAGATACAATTGAATCTTGTATCATGATACATAATTTTAATGAATCAAGTATCATGTATCATGATACATTTTATACCAGTATCATGTATTTTTTTTTGCCAAAAGATACAAGATACTATTATTGTAAAAATAATTTCGTCGCGGATTGTATTTGTACGAAAAATATTGTCCAGGTGCAATCCAGCCGAAATATTAACGATAACGATAAAATGTACCACACAATCTTATAAATTTAAGATAATATGATAAACATAACATTAAATTAAGGCGTCCGTATGGCCGTAGCCCACACGCAGTCAATAGTCAATAGTCTCATAAAATATGAATCCGCTGCCTAGATATGAGTGTAACCGTGTAGGTATACACATAAAGCAACTACATATAAGTATAAATTAAGATGTAATTGTTATGTACTTTCTTAATTTTGGTGTATTTATATTATAAATGTGATGTATTAGTTATAAATGTATAATGTGTACCTATTGACTTATTATATTATTTGATAAAATTATGACTTAATAAGTATTTATAAATACTATTATTATGTTGGTATAATAATAATATTATGTATTTATTATGTATAATAGACGGTATAGTGAGTTGTGTATAGACGTTTTACGTTTAATAATTAATAAAATTTGACTGGAAATATAAAAGTATCATGTATCTTTGATACATGTATCTTGTATCTTGTATCTTTTCTACATTCACAATGTATCTTGTATCTTGTATCTTGATACACTAAATGTATGTATCATGATACTTTTTTTGAGTATCTTGCCCAACCCTGGTTGCAATCATGCATCCAGACTTAAATTTAAACTTTTGAAGTAGAAAAAAGAAGTATGATTTTTTTAAGTATTTTTTCTTTATTCTCAGAGGTATAATGTATAGAAAAAAATGAATTTGATCAAAATTAAAAAAATCATGTAATTAAGGGCTAATATATTTCTTTAGGCTTCTTCATTGTGTACCATAATAAAATTACGAACTGGAGGCTGCCGCTGTGGTCTATATAATAATCTTGGATCTGTAAAATTAACAAAATGCTATAATTAACAGTATTTTAAATTTTTTAAATCTTTATAAGTAAACACTTCTACTTGAAGCTTTTAGCTACATAGATGTTTGTTGTGTCATATACATATGCATATATGTTTCCTGAAAGGTTGTTAAATCTGGATTTAAACGAAATTTTCGTTTTTGAAGTAGGTAAATAGGCAATATTTATTTAATTTACAGTAGACAATAATTGATCAAGAAAAGTAATAAATGTAAAGAATTTCATAGATAGTCGATTATATAAAATTTTAAATTCATATGGGTAAGAGATAAAAAAAGGTGAAATTGATGACATCATTATTGAAAATGAGTAGGTAGATAATTATAAAGTAAGCTATAATGTTGGCTTATTGTGATTTATTGTTAGTATAACTTATTGGTTCCCATACTTTTTTCATTGAGTCATATTATTATTATTTGTTAGTTAATAATAATACTTAATACATAGGGTTTGGGACTTGTTGTACTAAAAAATTATGCATGCATATATCATGCAGTCAAAATTGTCAAAATATGCTTAAATATATGCAGCTAAATTTTTAATTATTTTTGAAAAATGCATACAAAATATACCTAACATATTACAATTTTGAAAATAAAAAACTCAAAAATAAGTAGGTAGGTATATAAACATAATACAAATAATTTATGTACGGGGTAACTAATTTTAATATTATATTATATGATTATTATGAACACTATTGCATGCATGTTTTGGGCAGTTTTAAACTATTGTGAAATATAACAAGTTATTTTCAAAAAAGCTGGCTGCACATATGTAGCCTATTTAGGTACTTACGGGGTCGAGAAATAACAAATAATATATGAATAGATATACGAACACTGTGATAAATAACCACATTTCTACTGATTTTCATTTCTCCGTACAATCTAGAATTTAGATGTAAATTAGTTTTACCACAGTTTTGTTACAAAGAGACTCATATAATCTTACATACCTACGTACCATATCCAATGAATAACAAACTGGTCACTGGTCAGCGGTCAGTTACCAGTAGCTGGAATTATTTCTCGATCGCATTTATTTCAAGTATACTGTTTATATATTGTGAGTGTCTATTTGGTTTTTTTTTTATTTGTATTATTGTTAGATTAGTCAGTATACCTAATTAGAAGTGTTAAAAATTCTGAAAGTTAAAATGTCGTTTTCCTCTGCTAACGAACCAATTAAAAAAACGTGGGTCATTTTTTAAGGGTATTTCGGCCTTGAAAGGCATTTGTTTATAGTTTTTAAGGAATGTACATCCAAGCACTAGTGATAAGTGATAAATCATGTTATTCTATCAATATAAAGTATGCACAGTTAAGATATTCCATATTTCTTAATATTATGATTATTAATTATTATGCTTTAAATAATATTAAATGACTTACATGTTGGCGGATATGGTAAACGAGATCGCATATAATATGGGACTGGCATTAACCGCGGCTGCATATGTGTTGGTTGAGCGTAGTACATCGGTGTGGCATTTTGTGAGTAAAATGATCCTTGTACTTGAGGTGCAACTGGAGGTGGTATGACTGTTGGACCAGAATCAACCACCGGGGTCGGCGGTTGCTATGATATAAAAATAAATGTAATTAAAAAAAGAACCTATACAACTATTTTATTAGATATTTAAGAGGACTTCTCACCCGGATGTGTTGTCTCCGTCTTACACACGTACGACATGGCAAATTTTCGTTTGTTAGTTTCAATAGGGTATTATTAGTTTTGATATTAGAGTGAATCTACCTATTATCAAACTTTTAGGTAACAAAATTATCTGTGTTCTCTCGTTGGATTTTTACGATATTTTAATTTTTAAGTAAGTTATGGGTATGTAAAGTATTCATATTCTAAAATGTTCATAACTCACTTAAAAATTAAAATATCGTAAAAAACCAACGAGATAACACAGATAATGTTGTTACTTAAAAGTTTGATAATAGGTTGATTCACTCTAATATCAAAATTGACCATACCCTATTGAAACTAGCCAACGAACATTTGCTATGTCGTATGTGTGTAAGACGGAGACAACACATGCGGGTGCGACGTCCTCTTAACAATAAACAAGATACTAGACAGCTTCTTCTGTCATGTATTTTATATGTTTATAATTAAAAAAATTTCACTAAACATAGGATATAGTTGATTTATACATTTCTAGCAAATAAGTTATACAGCTATGTTTATTAAATAATTGTATCATCTTCAGCTCAATATTAATCAAGTTTATTTTTACTTTTCATAAATTCAAATATTGTCATTTATTATATGATAACAGTACAAGTGATTAGATAGGTATAAAATATTTAACTTTTAAGTATGTAACTTTCAGTGCCCCTAATATTTGTTCAAGAAAGCTAACTAAACATATATCTAATTTATTTATTATAATATATACCAATTGGTAAATAAAACAATAACCAATATCCATCTTTTTTAATTTAATGTTTTTTTTTCTATAATTAAAAATTAAACTAAATAAATTCATATAAAATTTAAATGGACGTTTTTAACTCGTTTTAATCTGTTAGTACCTAATATGCATGACTGAATCTTCTATACATATTAAGTATCTACAGCTAGTTTCTACATCAATCTAAAGGACAATCGTGCAATCTCTAAATCAAGACCAAAGTAATATAAATAAATATATAAAACTAAATCAAACAAATGTAAATACAGTTGGGGTTTTAGGTGCATACGAATTGCCACTGAAATCTGAGTTGGTGGGTGTTTTTAATTAAAGTCCTCCCATATTTTGTCGTACCATGGATTGTTATATCGATTTTTACATTATGAACGAAAAGGCTTTTATTAACTGTAGGTAGTGCTTATGATCTTAATTCACACACCATAGGCCTTCTATACAAATTACTAATTAGTCATTTTCAATATATTCGACGTTCAATCTATACCTACTCGTTTACTGGAATACGGTACCTACCCAGTACCCAACTAAGATTCTAATTATTATGTCAAGATAGTGAAGCACCGCCTCATATGTAATTTTTAGAAATTTAAAATATTTATTTACTTTAAATTAGTACTGTTTTAAATTTTACTCGTATACTTTAATTAAAAATATTTAATTTTTTTTTGTACAGAACTTGCACGAAACACGATAATTACTGCATATCTAACGTTATAACTATGACTGGAATTTATATGCAATATAAAAGCAAAAATATGTATATAATATATAAAATTAAAATAGTAATATTTAAAATAATAATTTATTCATTGAAATAAAACAGACGGGAACCCAATTAAACAACAAGCACATATTACAATAAAACAATAGGTAATAATATATGGTTTTATATGTGGTTAAGTTGATATATAGATGTAATGAAAAATTTAAATAATGTATTAATATTATAAAATATAATAGATATCAACCTCAATACTTAAAATGTGATTTATTTATTATAGATAATATATTATATTAATAATTATATTATTTATCAAGAAAAAAATCAAAGTTGGGGTATTTGTTACATAATTGCATTGCGTTAGAAAGAGGGGAATAATTTTTAGCAAAGTTGGTATTATGAAAAATGTGGGGTATCTGGGATATTGAAGGAGGACATTAAATTAGATGTGTTCTAGTAAATAAGAGATTTGATACAGCCATTAATGTCTTAATGAGATTATATCTGCCACACGTATAGATGTCAGTGTACCTAGTCATATTTGTGATATTCCAACGAAAATTTTGTTAAAAATTTGTATATTTGTTCCAAATAATAGAACCGTATTCCACAATAGACCTTATAGAGCCGTGCTAAGAGCTTTAATAATAGATCTAGGATCTGAAGAGGAGTTTAATAAACTTTTAAACCCTAATGTTTTTGAAGATTTCTCAACGATACATTCAATTTGTTCACATAAACATAAATCATGTAAAAAAATTATATCAAAATCTTTAACAGATGGAAGGCCAATAAGTGACATTTAGATATGTTTAAGTTCATTCCTCAATGTTGGCAACAGTTAACCAAAAGACTTGTCGTTAAGTAAAATGTTACAATTTTATTGTTGATTGAAGGCACTTGAGTAAATAGTTTTAAGTCATCGGCAAATAATAAGAATTGACACTTTTAAGAACAGAATATAATTAATGAGAATCAAAAATAAGAGGGGTGACAATTGACCATCTCGATGAATGCTGGAGGAAAGGGTATAAGTGTTTGACCTAAATCTTTGGATATTGGTGAATTGTTGACAATCAGTTAGATAAGAGTAGAAGATCACCAATGCCTAGACGAATTACTGCACAATTTAAAAGGTGTGATAAACGCAATAAAAAGCATTTTTGAAGTCTGAGTAAATACTAAATAAACATATTTAACAGTTATATATAAAGGCATCATGTATGTAATTTATAAATTGTATCTTAATGTTGATTTTCTTGATCTGAAGCTGTGTTGTCTTGGATCAAAAACATTGTTTAGTGACGAAATGATATCAATGAAGACTAGTTTTCAAAAATGTACCAAGTTGCATCAGGTTAGAAATAGGTCAGTAGTTTTTAATATTATTTTTGTCGCCTTTTTAAATATTTGTGTAACTTAAAGCTTATTTTCCAAATAGAGGGGAAAACGCCTTAACTAAGATTTACAGTACAACGAGAATGCATGATAAGTTATACAATTATCATACTTTGCTAAAAATAAACCGGATATTCCGTCCAGACTTGGGGATTTAGATTTTAATAAAAAGTGAAGACCATCCGTAATTACATTGAGAGAAATATGACATTGCTATGGAAAAGAAACACTCATGACTTCCGGACATACAGCCAGTACCTACGGTCAACTAGAACGAACCAAATGTTATTGTAAGCCGAGCATCGTGGCACGACGACCAGTAAGCAACTCTGGGAGACGGTGGGGTAACGTTTAAAAGGCTTTAGGACTTCGGACGACGGTAATACAAAATAAGGTGGCTATTTCGAACATATCAATATTATAAAACAAATTATAATTTATAGGTATATAATACACTTATACAAATTAATCTAATTAAGATAAACAATGAACATATTATAAAATAAAGTTTTTAAAACAAATATTTAATATTTAAATTTACTTATAATCTTAAAATAAAATGGTGGTTCATTGATAATTAATGATTATTAGTGATAATTATCTACCAAACAAAGTAAATTAGCTCATTGTGCCCTCTCATATTATATAAACTTTTTAGTGGTAACTATGAAAACTATAGAGATTAGAGATAAGGAAACTAATCCAGCTTAGACTCCAAAAAATTGTTTAAGTCCCGAGAAAACCCTTGTGGTTAAACTGCCACCTGTAATACCTAGGTCGTTTGAGTAGCAAGTAAACTTTGCATAATATAAGAAATAATTATACAGTTTTAGATTTTTGAAATAAATATTCAATATTTTGAATCATATTTCAAAAATTACTTGAAGTTACATATTTTTGTACCTATGGGCTGCTAACAACAAAGATGGAAGTAAAATAGGTAGTGGTTGTATAGTAACATGTAGGTATGCACATTTATTTCAATTTTGTATTAATTGTTTTATGATATAAGTTTATAACTACCGTAATTTAATGCTTTGCTATGATTATGATATCTTCCTATAAAACTTGGTTATTACAATATATACATTTAATGCATGTAATAATTTATCATTATAGTGCACCCATATATTATATTCTTAACTTCAATATTTATTGAAATATTACTGCATTAAAAAAAATAATGAGTACCTAGTTATTCGATTTTTTTTATAGCAATTCATATATACATCAATACAAAATGTACTTACGATAGTTTAGGGACATACATTTCAGTATATTCATTTGATACATATAAAGTTGTGAATCGCTAGATTTATCCAAGAACTCTTAGAGAAGTAATATCAAATTTAATCCGAAACAGAAAAAAGTAAATTATTAAATTATATTAAACTCTACTAATATATTCAACCACCATTTATAATTAAAATTAGGCACCTACTTAAATAATAATAATATGTATAGATTTACCTCTTCAAGCTGTGAAGACGTGTATGATGAAGATGTAGGCTGTTATTTGAATGGCCACAATCAAAGTTTATAAATAAATTTTAAAAAAAAAACTTAATAAACACATTGTAATTAAAACTATGAATATATTGATGTATTATTAATACACATTTACCTGTGTGGGCTGTGTAGATTTAATTTTTTTCCATTTCTTTTTATTTGGAGGTGGATGTCCTTTTCCTATTTCTTTTTTATAATTTTTCGAAGACTTAAATGAACGGTCATGTTTTGGTTTAGATGACGACTGACGTTCAGTTACATTATCTCTCCGATCCAGTGATTTAGACTTTCTTCCACTTCTAGACTGTGATCGTTGTCTGTTTTTAGATGAATACCTAATTCTAGAACCAAATCGGGGTTCATTATATGATCTAGAACGCGACCTAATTCTTCTTCCAAGTTTCTTTTGAATACGATCATTTGGCGGGGACATATTTACATTTTTGAACTCTGGCTGATTTCTTGTCATAGATGAATGCATACTTCTAGTACCAAATTCAGTGTTGATCTTGTGATTTAGATCGTGACTCATTTTTTACTTCATACTGTGTCAGATTAGGAGAATTAGAGGACGACCAGTAAACATTTCTAGATAGTGTAAATTCTGTTTCACGCGGATACTGAGTATTAGTTTCCGATCGCAGCTCGCCTTCAGATGATGGCATGCGTTCTTGAGACTGAGATATTGACTGATGTTGTGGTATTCCTGAAATGCATTTTTTTAGATTAACTCTAAACTTTCTGTCAGATAAACTGGAATGCCATTTATTATGAACAATATTTTCTGAAATACATTTTTTAAACTTATACAAAAAAAACAAATGTACTATAAATTCCATTTATTAAATCTAATTATGCTAATTATGATTTAGAACTAACCAAGTAGTTTATAAATTAAGTTGACTTTCCTAATAGATACTTCATAGAAATTTAATTAAAAATATGGAGGAACTTTCTGTTGTTTTGTATATGTGTATATTACATTACAGTGTTCATAATCATTATATAAAATTACCTGGAGCTGATACTTGTGTCTGGTCATGACGTATTTCAATATTTGATGCCTTATTATGACCATCATCATATTTTGATGCAATAAAAGAATTTAGAACTGTCTCTAGAGCAACATGGGCCTTTTCGCCTGAAATATTAAAATGTACAAATATTTATATAGTATTTAATTTATTTAGAAAATAAACACATAATTTGATTAGTTTTATACAATTTTGTCGTTAATTTTTAGTTTTTTATTTTCATGTATCTACTTACATAAAATAACTTAGCTTTATAAAAGACCATGTAGGTAAAACAACAACAGTAAAATAGGTGTATATAGTAAATAGGTGAAATAATCCATACACTTAGATCATTTTACTTTACTTATTTACTTTCTAATGTAGTATAATAGTATAGTGGTATCAAATAGGCAATTACTAATTATATTTAGCGTATTCTCAATACTAAATTACTTTTCCATCTGAATTTTTACAAATACTCAAAACACAAATTGTCTTCATATAGGTTTATTCAATTTTATTTTTTAATATTTACCTAAATATAGGCAGAAATAAAATATTAATTTATTGATTCTGAGACATATAAGCTCTAGTTGAGCCTATGCGCCCAAGCTACATTTATTAACGTGGAACCTTGTTTTAAATTTTCAATGCTTATATATAAAATTTGAACATTTTATAAATTTTCAACAAAATAATTATTAAATTTTAAATTTAATACATTTTTTCAAAATTCAAACTTTTAATGCTATAAAAAAAATTATGCCTATGTATTTTTAATATTTTTCAACTACTATTGTAACAATATATCAGTATCTTTGTTTTACATTTTCACGCATTTTTACCAAACAAATATTTTATTGACAATTATAGAAAAAAAAAATGTAAAATATTTAAGACTGACTATGTCCATAAAGAGCTCAAAAAGAGTCAAAATGTTATGGTGTATATAAAATGAAAATATAAAAATTCTGAGAAATTGTCATGTATTTACAGTTATTTGTTTTTTTTGGATTTTTAATATTTGTCATCTATCTTTTAAACAATATATTAAGAGCCTTATTTTTTTGTAAAAAACTGATTTTTTCCTAAACATTCCCGTTTTTCCTTAATTTTAATTTTGTTTTTGCCTGCGCTTCCATTAGGAATATAAAATTATGATGAAGTTGAAAATCGAAGCATTATTTCTATTACAAAAAATGTTTACTGCAGATAGAAAAAAAACACTCATTGTAAAATAAATGTTTTTGAAATAGCAATATATTTATAAGATGTTTAAAATAAAATAATGCTGTTTTTTGATAACAATTAGAAGTATTTTGTTCTTATAACACGTGATTACAAATTGTTGATAATAATTTGCATTTTCTCATTATTTTATTGTAAGTATTAAATATTTTTAAACATATATTATATACATTTATACGTTTACCATGGTAAAGGAGAACAAATGTTGAATACTAAACTGTCCAGTGTTAGATAAATCTAGATTTAGCATCCCACAACGTTCCTTCAATGAATAGCAAGAAGCAATTGGAACATCTTTAACCAAAATATCAAGAATTTGTGGAGCTTATTTTTCTAAAAATGATATTCACAATACTTGGAATTTCGGTGAAGGGTCAAATCAGTATTCGGTAAGTTGTGAGTTTAATTTTTGATTATAATCATTGTCATAATATATCTAACATAATATACATAGTATAATGCTAAATGATATCACTGATGTTTACAAAGTTTTTTGTTCTAAAATATATATAGATATGCTTAAAAAAGCCAAGATTAAAATATGGAGCAGTTCCAAAATTACTTTTGAATGCGAATGCTGGAAATGTTGATATACCCATCACTCTCAATACTTCAAGTAGTTTTAATGTTGAACCTAGTATTCACTCGGATTCAGAAGTTGTTGAAATCAATCAGGTTCAAAAAATTATTTTTATTTTTATACCATATAAATATTAACTGAATACATGATTATTAATTAATATGGTCATAAGTCATAACAAATGTACTTGACACAATTTTTAATTGTTTAACGTTATTTTTTTAATATAATCTTATTTTCATCACAAAAAAATTAATTCATATTGTATTTATTTAATTTTATACAGATCTCCTTCAGGATAAAAAATTTTTGAAAGAAGAAGGAGTTTTGCCATTACCATATTGTGTTTAGAACAATTAGAAGACATTTGCTAGCGGTAAAAAATGTATGTGGTTTTGAGGTATCATTTTTTAAGCTCCTGGAAAAAATATATTTAAGTTATACACAGAGCCAAAAAAAGGGAATTTTGCTTATTGATGAAATTTATTTGAGAAAAAATATTTATGTCAACAGCAAAAGTCTTACTTACTATAGGTGTTGATTTATCTCAATTACTTATAGGCTATTCTTTTGCTGGAAGATGCTGGGCTACAGGTTTTAGGTGTAACGTGTGATTGTGCTTTAATTAATAAAACTATGTTCAAAAATTTAGGAATAAATGGAAGCAAATCTGAGTTAAAAAACTAATTTGTTAATCCTTTCGACGATCTTAGAAAAATATTTGCTTTCAGTGATAAAGAATATAAGAAATCATTTAGTTAAAAAAAACAGTTGAAGGTATTTAACTTACATTTTAGTTATAACTTTTTAATCATAATTATAATAATTATAACTATATTATCTACTTTAATTAAGTACATGTATAAGAATATTTCATGAACATTTTAGCTTCACCCATTGATGGATTATGTCAAATGGGAACATTACTGTTCTGTTTTTAGTAACGAATCAAAAACCATGTTGAAAATATGCCCAAAAATAACTAAAGCCCACATTGAACTAAAAAATCTATCAAAAATTAAGGTGAAATATGCCACACAGGTAATAGTTTGTTAGGGATTAATGTAGTAATATGAATAATAATAATTTAAAAATATTAATTGTATAACATTGGTTTAAGTGTAATGTGTCATCTACTAAAGAATATTATTTGTGTCAATTGAAATAAATTTAAAATACTCATGTTTAAATAGATATTTAGTAATGGCCATTGGTATCCGATTTTACCGTGACCGGAAATTGAAAGGACTCGAAGATTTTTTAGAAACTGAAGAATTCACAATATTCTTGAATAATATGTTTGATGCTTTAAATAGGAAATTCCAAGGGAAATTCCCTGCTGAAAGCATTAAAAATACAGCAAAGATTTAGAGGTTATTTATGTATTTCTGGGTTTCTGTTGTGTGTGTATTGGCCACAAATTAAGATATCTTAATTTGTGGTATAGGCTAATGGCATTTGTTCTTTATATGTGTCTGTGTTTTTATATTTAACTATTTATCTATAATTTTTAGTACTTAATATCTTAATAAATATAATAGGTTAGGTTATTTAGAGATATTGGTAGATTATTTGTTTGTTTTATAGAAATAAATGTTTAATATTAGTGTGCATAATTTATATAAACTTGATTAGCTAATTACAATTTTTATTCTAAAAAAGGTATAAAACTAATGCCTTATTTGGTTAGATAATTAGGAACAACATTTCATAGATGGTAAAATACTGGAAAAAGAATTTCCAACTAGAAATACAGCAGATTCTTTGAGATTGCCCTTAAAATCTAGCATCGATTCAGTTACATATTTACTTGACAAATGCAATTTTCAGTATGTTTTAACTTCTAAGTTCAATCATGATGCGATTGAAGTAGGCAAATCATTTCCAGTTAATTAGAGTGTATTAAAAGTCTTAATGATATTTATTACAGAAATTGTTTGGTATTGTGAGACAAACAACAGGACCTAATGACCACCCTGCTACTCCAAAATTTCTACAGCTCAGACTATTATCTGTATACCCGTTAGTCAAACCACCTAAATCCGGAAATTGTACATTATCAGAAGGTACGATTAAAATTTAACTATCTAATTGAATAAATATAATAAACATACCTAGTAGCTACTTTAGACTCCAATTATATTCCTGCATTAACAATAACGGATTTAAAAAAAGCAGCTATGAAAAATCCATCACGAGTTGAAAAAATAAATCAACTAAAATTTCAGATAAACTTAATTGTTGAAGAAGGTAGATGGGACCTAGATGAAATATTTAAAATGTTGACATTAGTAAAGCTAACACGTTTGACTGTGTTGTTTATTAATTAGCAGGGTAATATATATTATTTATTGTTAATCCGTAATACTACTTATAGTACTTATAGCCTACGTATAGACTACAGTATAATGTATAGCCAAAGTATAATACACAATTTTTATATTTATCTATTTGATTAGATATTTGGCCACAAGATATATATATGATCCAAACATCCCGGTGTATTATTTTTCACACCAGTTTAGTCTAACGAATTTCTACTAAATGATCAATAGTGTGTAATGTGTTCAAAGACCATAGTGTTCGCAATTGTCCCTCAGCCGAGCGCTCACACGTGTACATGTAAATAACGCATACCTACATGAATATTAGTTTCTTGTCTAAAAGTTTTCTTTCGGTCTAAAATCTTTTACCAATTGTATTTAACTATCTTAGTTATCCGATAATGTCTGAAAAAAATATTTAATTAGTCATGAAGTTTCCTTGAAAACAACTTTCTTAAATTTTAAATGTTGAGAGTATTCTTGACAAAACTATTTTTGAAAACGTTTGGTATAATAGAGATGTTGATAGTGTTAGAATTTTTTTTAATTTAGATTTTTATATTATTTTTATACTCACAACTTACAAAAAAAAAAAGAAAGAAATTGTAGGTTGGTTGGAGAGCGAAGGGAACAGAGAACAGGGGAATTTTATTTTTAAAATAATTACTATTCAAATTGTGTATGTTCAAAATAATTTATATAAAAGTTTAATTCGAGAACAGCAAGAAAATATTTTTTGGGTACCTATCTAATCATTGGTATCTAACGAGGTATCTAATATCTACTAGTAATACTAGGTCACTATTATAGATACTAGGTATGCAACGCCGCCATTTTGAGACTAATAATGTTATGTGAATAATTAATTTCCCCCCCCCTTTATTTTATAATTTTAACATTGATAAATGAGTCGCAAAATGGTGGCATAGCATAGCCATTATATGTAGAGCATTAGTAATACTATAGCGCACTGGACAAATATAACAAATTATACAACATACGTCCCCGGCTATGAGAACACCGCGATTTCTGTTACTAATCATCATAATATACAATAATATACAATAGTAATAAATTTATTACTTGATCTCTTAAAGGCCATCAACTTTTCTGTAGATTCCGGTTTGAGGTCCAAGACGGAAGAATTATAAACGTCGGCAAGTTGTTTCGCAATTTGTACGGCTTCTTTAAATTCTTCCCACAGATTTGGCTGTTGGGACGGGTTAAAATGAGAACCCATGCTTGTAGACGGTTATCGCATCAATTGACAATTTTGAACTGGAGAAGAACTGTTTCGGCGTGACCGGCCACCGGCGTTGAGGTTAGGGTACTAGACGAGTGTTACAGCAAACCACGTTCGTTCCAGGTCGTTCCACGTTCGTTCCATGTCGGTCTCTCAACTAAATCGGCTGAGCTTCAGTGATGTCGATGAGAATAAATCGATAAACCAGTCGGATGTCGTAGGAAACACTGTGGCATGACAAAATAAACAGGTAAGCTGGCAACTCAAACCAACATGGCGGATGCTTTTCTCCACTTATCATAGTCAATAGTAATTGTTATCATGAATAATACCATGACAAAATATAAATTATTCAACCACAAAATAGACGTATGTACATTTTTAATATTAGATTTAATATTTAATAAAGAGTTACCTCATTGGTATAGCATCATTTTTTAGCCTTCGGGATGTTTTAGGTGAATACCCAAAACTAGTTTGTGTCAATGTTTTTTCGACAATGTCAGTAGGCATAAAATGTAATGAACATATAACAGCTGAAAATAATTAGAATATAAGACAAAACAATGCCATTTATAATAAAATTGTTTTTATACCTGTTTCAAAATTCACTGATTGAATATTCGAACCTTTTTGTATTTGTTTAAGCCAAATCTGGCGTAATTTATTATCCTTCGGGAATTTGTGTAAGTGTACATTTGGATCAGGTACAAGATCTTTACGTCTACTTCCACTATAGCAACCATTAAACGCACACAACGGAATTTTTATTTGAATAAAAACTGAGTTCAATCAGTAGAAGTAGTAGTAAGTAAGAAGTAGTAAAAATTGTACCTTTATTTTAAAAATTACAATTTACAATTCACAATAAAATTGACTGATAACAATGACTATGATAAGCGGAGAAAAGCATCCGCCATGATGGTTTGAGTTGCCAGCATACCTGTGTTTATTTTGTCATGATTATTTCACCGATGGTTGATTAGAACGTTTCGCGTCAATGCAGTTGCGTAAATGATCACCCATGTATGTCTTATGTAGGTACTAGCATACGGTACACAAGTCGCGACCAATTTATTAATTAAAGTTCCTGTTTGCTTAAGGGGCCTCGCAATGGCATTGATTTAAGGAGAATCATTTAGGCAATTTCTAATCTCGTCGTCGCCACCCGAGATCTATGTGTTAGTCGTAAATGATTATAAGTGTGTGTGGCGTCCATGCGGGTCAAATGTAGTGGTGCGGAGGGCTCTCGCACGCACTCGCACACACATGTCAATATATAATAATATTGATGAAAAAATGCTTATTACTTATTTTTCACTTAAACATACGATTCTAATTCCAACAGTACGTCGCAACGGTTACCTCGATTTTCATTCTGACAAAATATTCTTATTTTCCACAACATGTACGAGGGATCGATCGAGGCACATTTTTAAAATTGTATTTAGTTAATTAAATATTTAAGTTGAAAATTCTGTATTTTTTTTTTGATTTTTTTACAATTTTTATTGCAATTTAAATTACAAAAATTAAAAATGTGGCTCGATCGTTCCCTTGTATATATTACGGACAATCAGAATATCTTTTCAGAATGAAAATCGTGATAATTGTCGACACGTATCGTTGGAATTAGAAACAGTAGTTTTTGACAAAAAAAAGACTTGGTTGTGAGGCCCCTTAAAAATATCAACCAATAAATAAAGCATATAAATTATTATACACCATAACTCAATTTATATTTCTAACCCAATTACTTTTTTAAATACATAACAAAATAATAGTTTCATTACGATTAAAGAGATTTTGTAGTAAATATGTCGCGTATTTTACGTTGAATCTTATTGGTGACCTGGAGTACTTTTCGTACGATTGTTTGATCTCCTATAAACTGGGTGATTCTTTTATCAAACAACACTCATTATTTTAAAAAGTGTACATTTTTTTGAAAATATTTTTTTACATAGTTTCAAGTTGCTTATAAAACAACGTTTTTATTAAAAAATTATATTTTTAAATATTTTTTATCCTTATAATTTTTTAAGTTTTTTACTTTTTTGAATAACAACATAGGGTTTTAGTTTTATATTCCAAAGCAGAATATTTTTCTTAGTATTTTGATACATGAAAATCGAATTTGGGTTGAGTAGTTTATGAGTTATAAATATTCAAAGTTTGATGAGCGGTGAAGTGGACAAACATTTCGCGGGGTAACTCCGAACCACTCCACTCCGCTCGTCTAAACTTTAAATACTTATAACTCGTAAACTACTAGCCTCAAATTCGATTTTAATGTATCAAAATACTAAGAAAAATATTCTACTTTAGAATATAAAATTAAAACCCTATGTTGTCATTTAAAAAAGTAAAAAACATAAACAATTATAATTATAAAAAATATTTAAAAATATAATTTTTTTATAAAAACGTTGTTTTATAAGCGACTTGAAACTATGTAAAAAAATATTTTCAAAAAAATGTACACTTTTTGAAATAATGAGTGTTGTTTGATAAATCACAGTATACTAATCACCCAGTATACGTATTAGTACAATGTTTAAATAGTTGTGATTATTATAAAATATATTGATGTAATTATAGGTACCTATATTTAATTGAAACATAATTTAGGAAGTTGATTGTTATTTGTTGTACATATTATAATATCTTTTAAATAAAGACTATAGGTAATTATTCACATTATTTAATTATTGTTGCAATTTGCAGTGCAGTATGTAGTATATACCTATGTAAAAAAACAGACAGTATACACTTAACATGTTCATCGTTTATAATATAATATATAATATTATAATCTATATAAATTAAAATTAAATTATGTAAGTAATTCTACACATGTGCAGAACACTTTTGATTGTGCTATTATAGTTAGTTAAAATACACCATTTATATTAATTACAATTTATTATAATTAATAACTTAAATTAATGCTAGTACCCTAACAGCACATAAAACAACATATATGTAACCGTAATATAACTTTGTAATATTACCTTGGTAACAGTTACGTATTAATATCTATCAGAAATATAACGGTTATATTACTGTTAAGTGCCTATGTCCGCTTTTTCATAACAAACAAATTTTCATTATTTTATATATCATTAATGTTACATAGTTATACTTCTAATATATGATAATGTATAACAGGAATGCTATTGTTGATCTCCTATGCGTAACTATTTAGGTATAACATTATTAAAATGTTATGTACGGATGCATAACAGTTGTATATATAATATATACCTACCGTAATAATATTATAGAATTTCAAATTACAAGATAATATATTATAGGTTGACATCTATATTATATGTATAGTATTATGCAGAGTTGGGCGTTATTCGAATGAAATCTTATCTAGATGATTATTTAGATAACATTTTATTCGAATAAATTATTATTCGAATGATTTTTTTACAATTATTCAAATTAAAATTTATTCGAATAATTTTTTTTACAATAATTCGAATAAAAATGTATTCGATTAATTTTCAACTATTATTATTCGAATAAAAAATCATTCGAATATTTTTTTTTACAATTATTCAAATAAAAATGTATTCGAATAATTTTCAACTATTGTTATTCGAATAAAAAATTAACTGATTCAATTTTAAACATAGATATTCGAATAAACAATAAACAAATATCTATCAATAGAAGAAAGTTAATAATTAGAAAATTAGATATGTTTTTTTAAATTATATTTTAACAATAGTTTTATAATATTATAATATGAATAATATTTAATGGTAATATTTCATAACAATTATTACAACAATCCTAATAGATCGATAATAGCAATATCTAAAAAAATTATTTTATTATGAACTAGGTATGTTTAATCAAATTAAATAACTAAGAATTACTAACTAAGAATATAACCGTCTTTAAAATTTATTCAAATAATCATAGATGAAAATTATTCGAATAGTTTTTTATTCGAATTATTGTAAAAAAAACATTCGAATAGTTTTTTATTCGAATACAGATTTATTTGAATAATTATCTAGATAAAATTTTGCCCAACTCTGGTATTATGTAACTTTTTAATCTATATATAGATTAAAAAGTTACATAGTATATATAGTGCAGTAAAAATGTCATAATACAGGTAAAACTTAATATTACTTAATTCTGAATATTACACTAAAATGTAGCTTAAACTAACATAGTTTATCCAATTGCATATATTTTATCATACACGATACATTTAAAATTAAAATATGTGTTTGATTCAGTGAAAAAATCATTCAGTCCATAGCTATTCAATGGAAACGATTAGGTTTACTGGTAAAGAAAGATTGTAGTCCAATCTTAGTTTTTGCTCCCCTGAAAAATTTACAGAAATGGACTACTACCGTTCTTCCCCTGTACCCTTCATTTCAGTTTGATCTTCTGTAACAATTTTGAATGTAAAAATTAGGTAAAATGTACAATAGTAACAAAAATAACAATTAGGTAAAATGTACAATAGTGAATATAGTATGTATAATATGTATAATATGCAATATTTAATTAAATTTTTAAAAAAAGTACTCAGCTATAATAGCTGGTGATATGCTCTAGTATTTTAGTAATTAGTGTTATATACTTGTTGTCATCGATTTAGTAGCGAAATTCATTGTTTCAACGATTTGATCATCTGGAAACTGTGGAAACTGAGCAGAAGCTGTAATATCTTCATGAACATTTTGT